ATAATAGAGAGGTTTTTGTTTGGGAATGTTGGCAATTGTATAGGCTTGTTATGTAAGAAGTTGTTGTTTATTGTACTCAGGGGGTTATTATATAAACTAGGAACATAAGAAGAGAACAAAAGGGTGCGGAGTAGAAACAGAACATCATATAAAACTCTGTTCTAGATTTCAACTCATTCATTGATTTGCAGTTGCACTAAACTTGGCACATAAGAAGATAACTTGAAATCTCGATCTGCATAACTTTGCTCTCCATATCCGTTAGGTTTCCTGACTTTCGGAGCTTCTTCGACGTTCATAGTTCTGAAGTACCCATCTTCTCCAACGATGTAAGCTATCTCAGTTGCTTTATATCCGTAAGCATTGAAAACCACAAGGACTTTCTTCTCCTCGTCAATGAAGAAGTTCCCAGCATCCAAATACTTCGGAAACCCATCGACCGCGCGCGGTTTCATATCAACTTTCAAAAACTTGCTCCAGGATATATCATTCGGCTCAATCTTAGTCGTAATCCAAATCTCAATCATGTGAGATACAAAGTGTTGATGTAACATAGCAAGCTGCTCATCTCTAACTGAAGATAATAAGTTCAGAATATCAAAATCATCAACGGGAGAGGAAGACGCGGTCCAAATCTCTCTGTTGTAAAATCTAAACAGAGTAAATAATTTTCAACTGCTATCTCTCCAGCTAAAAAGTAAGTATTTCCCTTCAAAGACACGACTTCACATTCATTCCACCATAAAGTATGGTCGACCGCGAGATCAAGAACCTTCCACGAATTAGAGTTAAAATCGCAAATTTCGATTGCACGACCACCTTCTTTTAAAGAAAGCCTAAAGATTTTGTGGATATGGTTGTTGGTGTCGTCGTTGTTGCGGATTCCTTGGAGATCAAAAACCATTGAAAAAACCATAGAACGAATTGTCACAAACCCTAGAAACTGCTTCCTTGCACCCATATTCAGATATTTGAATGTTTTGTACCATTCCTTGCAAATAGATCTCTCTGGTTTATCCAAATTAAGAGTTTTGAATGAGTTGCACAAGTTCTTGCAAGTAGATCTCACTGGACGTTTGAGAGCAGCTGGTTTATCCAAATTCAGATTTTTGAATGAATTGCACAAATTCTTGCAAGCAGGTTTCACTGGTTTGAGACATGTTAATGGAACCCTAGAGAGTGTATTATCCCTTGGAAGATCGGAGGTTTTCGTCATGCTTCCAAAGTTTCAAATAAAGTTTTTTTTTAATAACTTTCTACGCTCTTGCTCACTCTTTCCTCTCTATATATACATAGATAAATAATTTAGGGTTCGATTGTTTTGTGTCACCGACTTAAACACTCTTTCACTCTTTCCTTTCTTCAAGTTAAATCGTAGGGATACCAAAAGAAAAAGGAAAGTTGCTGGTACTAAAATTGGGGGAAAATAAAATTAATAAGAAAAAAAAAACTCTTTTAAGTATCTTATTAAACAGTGATTTAGCCAACTCAAATCCATTAGTCGGTCAAAATTTAAGTACTCTTCTCTTACCAAAAACATCCAGAATTGTGCATAAAGAACATGGCTACAAATAAAGGACATAAATTGTAAGGTCCTGGTTTATTTTCTTTTCACAAAAAAATGGCTAAAAGTATCATTCACTGCAACTCACGGAATGCCCATATGAATCTCGGGAAAGGCACGCGAGATGTTCATGTGATCTTTACTTAATCTGTCTCAAGGAAATATGAAATGCTTGTTACAACAAGAACATAGTAGTTAACAGTTCTATGACTATGAGACAACCAATTTGTAAGGTCTAAATGTATTAAATACGAAATATATGTATATTTACAGTTTGTGTTACTACCCATCGATCAGAGGAAGTTACAATTATGGTGCAACAGAAGATAAACTTGGGAAAATGATGACAAACGAAAAGTATGCACTCAGCTGGATTGGTTTGCAAAGATAACTTTTTCTAGCTTTCGATAGGAATATCGTTTATACTTCAATCCGTAAAACCTTTTCAATTCATTCATCGGTTAATGGGTATTTGAAACCGAAAGAATTAGTATTCAAACACCACAGAGACCTACCATAACCACTAAAAATTCTTATGGTTTATAGTTTGAGTTTTTCTCCCTTTTAGAGTTAAACATGTCTGCTTCATCTAAAGTCTTCCATGGCTTAAGAAACAGAGGAGTAACGTTATAAAAGTTACTAACAATAGAAATGATAGAACATTGTTGTACCATAAACAAAGATTTTGATTGATCCAAGAACATATAAATAAAGGTCTGAATTGACAGAACATTATTGTTGACCATAAATAAAGATTAACGACAAAAGAAATGACACCGAACAAACCCTAATAGTATAAGTTGTACTTATCATAACCTTGTTGTACATATCTTCGTAGATTGATATCTCTATGAGATATTCTAGGCAAGATCCTAACTGTATTGTGTATATAACACATCAAACTATCATCAATAAACATAACATTCAGAATATCTATATGGTATCAGAGCAGCTTTTAACCTAATAAAAGCTGTCTCTTGTTCCTCTCCGCCGCA